ATGTGAAAATGAAAAAAATCAAACTTTAACAGAAGAAAAATTAAAATAATAACAGGTTCTGTGCCAAATTTTTGCATTTGTACTAAAGCCTGCTCTGTTACAAAAAAAAAATCAAATTACTAAAGAAGAAAATCGATAACTATATTATATATATTATATATATATATATATATATATATATATATATATATATATATATATATATATCCTATATATATATATATATATATATCCTATATCCTATATATATATATATATCCTCCACTATGGCAGGCACCTCGCCGTTGGTGCGGGGGCTTAGTCGAATCACAACCAGACCTTATCATCGGGTGGTAGTGTAGTCGTGTCTCTACCTCCGGGTACTGTCCATTTCCTGTGGTTCGGGCTGCTTGTGAGCGATGACCAAGAACTGCCGACCCCCTAATCCAGGGTGTTTAGCGACACCGTGCCCATTGGAAGGTTTGTAGCCAGGGGGTTTACCAGACCGGCTGTATTTTAACGGCGCCTTCCTGACACCGGACCGCCTCAGGGAGTAACGGTGGCCTTGCTGCGGCATGGGGCGCTGCCGTGGAGGACCGTTAAATTCCCCTTATTATGGCCTAGACCACTGCGCCCGCCTCGTCGGGTAGGTGGTCGTACGAATAAGATGAACACAAACAAACAAAAACAAAAACAAAATCAAAATCAAAAACAAAACCAAAAACCAAATCCTACCAACAAAACTTCGAGTGGTGGAGGGGATTCGAAACCGATCCCCTTTAAACGAGGCGGAATCGACTCGTGGGCAGGGTGGGGCAGCTGCTGCTGCAGGGTGCAGTAAGGGGTCGGAGCCAACCTCTTCATCTGCACTTGTCTCTGGTGGTGCCGGTGGGCACCCACCGCACCTAGACTCGGGGTTAGGGGCGCGGGCGAATTCGCCTGCATCCAGGACGGAGGCAGGGCCGTAGATGAAATTTCATTTATTTCATTTTTTTTAATCCCTCCGTTAGGCCTAAACGGCACGCTGGGCCGGCCAGGAAAGTACGCGATGACCGTCGCATGGCTGCCAAGATCCTGGCGCGTTACGGCGAGCAGGGTGCTGCGCAGCACGCGCGAACGCTCGAATGGGCCAGGGGGGTGCTAAGCGACGGCCAGGAGGGCTGTGGTGAGGGTGTTTCTGGGGATGCGAGCGCATCCCGTATTGATCCTGTCAAGCGGCGGAGATCGCAGGAGGGGGAAGCCCCCCTCTCCAAGAAGCCCAGAGCGGGAGGGACGCCTAAGCTCTTTAGCGAGATCGCTAAACAGGCGGGCTCTATCACTCTGGGCGTTTTAGATCGGGGTAAGGAGGACGGGGCCAAGAGAGGACTGGAGGAAGGTGTCGGAAGCCTATCAGGAGTTTTTAAGAGGGTGGTCAGGGAAAACCCGGGGCCACCGCCGCGGTGCGAGAGTGATGGTTGGCACCAGGGCATGCTCAAGAAGGTGGTGTGCGCCGACGAGCGGTCGGCCTCGCTGTACAGGGCGGCAGTAGCTTTGGTCGGGGAGGTGTGGTAGGGAGCCAGACTCGAGGTTGTGGACAAGGGGGATGTGGGATACACCCTCAATAATTTTAACTTAATTTAAATGAAATTTTGTTTAAGACTTACCTTTGTAAACTTTGTTTGTTATCAAGAAAAATATTTTATTATTAAAATTTCTTTCTTAGAAGATACAATCATTTTTTAAATTAAATATTCTATATTTTTGGTGACCCCGACACACGCACAGAAGAAAAATGTCTGTAAGCCGCTCTCCTGTTCCTCCAGCGAATCACCCAAGAGTAGATGGCATATCGGATAATGTTGAGGTCGGAGCGGTAATTGTATGCAAGCTACCTCCCTTTTGGTCCGAACAGCCACAGCTATGGCTCGTTCAGGTGGAAACTCTTCTTTCACTTTCGCGAATCAGGAGAGATGAGACAGAATACGCGCACATCGTCGCTAATTTAGATGCAGTACATTTAAAATTTGTCGGAGACCTT